GGAAATAATGCAGCATATCGCTTTTCTCCGTGTCATCCTCACCACCACACTCTTCGATCAAGTCTTCCATGTCCTGCCACGCAACCCTAGTGCTCGTGCTTGCACATCTCTTATTACTTCTGATCTTCTTGCACTCGGTGTACACCAGGCGGTCCACTTTGTCTTGAGCCGTCTTGAAGGGTAAGCAGACATGAGGAAGGCTGCTGGGATCTCCAATGAACTGATCGTCAACCACCTTAAATATTGCTCATGTCTTCAGAACAAATGTGAATGAACAACCGAGAGATGCTTCTGAATGCCTACTGCTATCATAGTGTTCTTCTTCTCAGCAGCACATCCCCTGCATCTGTACACCTTGTAAGTCGAATTCGTTCTGAGATGCTCAAACGTATAACAAAGTGGACCTCCTATAGTTGGCTTCAATATCAAAGTTTTTATCATGTGTGAGTGTCAGACCTGGTACCGAGTATCTCATCACTGCGTGTTTCCCATGTTGACTTTGTTCTATAGAAGCAGGGTATCTTTGAGCCGTCAAGTCATACCCGCAACGGCGACGTTGTGCTCGAGGTGCTGGACCTGGAGCGCTCGCATGGGGAGCCGTGACGGGTGCCCCTGATACTCCTAATACAACATGCAAATCTTGTTAATCAAATTAATAACATTTCAACATAACTTCAATTTAATATTTTCTGACCTGCAGTCTGGTTTTGCAGCAACTGCTGTTGTTGCGATTGCATTTGCTGCAATAATGCAGCATAAGTAAGAAGATTGAGTTGGAAGTTTGGCAGCATTGTTAGGAAATTGTGCTTTGACTTTCAATCCACTTTTATATTAACACATTTGCCACCGTGACGGGTCATCATGTACCTTGTGGCAACATATAGTGGAGGGGTATTCACACTTTGTTCGTCACACCTCACGTTCAACTTCACACCTTTATCTAGTCCACTCGCATTCTGAGAGTTCCATGCCCTTGGAATAACACGAATCCAGTAAACATTTATTAATACAAGTATAGAAATTGACAGGCAAACTTCTCAGTTGCAAATTACAGTTATCAATTACAACATGAGCTATATAACATGAGTTAACATACATGTTACAAAAATACGTGATCACAACATAACAAAACAAGTTATCATAAGTTTACAAAGTTTTTCTGTTTTCCTATCATAAATAAGATAATATCATAAATAAACATATAATTAAACTAAAGACAAGTTCTGGTTGCAATCTCCAACATGCTTTTCTTTGGCACATTACGGTAGGGTTCATGTTTCTCATAAAACATGACTACC